CAGGCTAGTGTGGGGTGGAGTTAGATATGGGTGCAGCATGAGAGATGCCCCTTGTAATCGGATGGAGTTGAGCAGTAAGCGCCTCAAGGCCAGCTGCCAACTATTGAAGCTTTGTTGTTGTGAAACCCTGTCCTTTAGTCTTGTTCCAGAGAAGTGGTACTTGACACCCACCTATAGAAATCTTGTTTTCATGGTCCTGCTGCATGTTGCTCTTTTTCAGCTGTGGTATTAGATTTTCATTCTTTTTTGGGGGGGGGGCGGGGGATGGGGGGGCGCTGGGGAGGAGGAAAGGCAGAAAAATGAGGAGAGGGAAGGTTTGGGAATGGATGCTCTAATTTAGACACAGTAACAGTTCTGTAATTTGGTAGCAGTAAGGAACCATGTTACAGATAGGAATTTACAGACAGAGCCCTTGGAAAGCCTTGGTTAGGATTGTTGGCTCCAGAAATCTATTCACATTTTGCTGATATGTTGGGACCCAGTGATATCTATAAAATGTAAAACATGCCTAAAACCACTGGCCCCAACAGCATGCTATTGCTCTAAATTTGAAACCCTTATATTATTGCTAGATATACATTCAGTTCATGCAGACTGAGAGAGGATGGGGCACATTTAGATCCAAAAACAGAACTGTGCCCCAGAAACATGATAATACCACACAGAGTAATGTGATCTAGTGGACAGAGCCTCCTGGATTTTAATACCAGATCAGCCTGTAATTTTTCTGTACAGCTGCGGGCCAGATCATAGTCCACTGATTAGGTGTCTGAGTGGAGCTTAGGTGTCAAAGGGCATGTACAAACCAATGTTATAGGTGCTTTAAAAGGGGCAGGGGAGCTGCAGCTTGGAAGCATGCGACAGCCTGACTGTTGCATCTGCACAATCTTGCAGTGACACAAGTGAGCAAAATTGCCCTAACTTTGAACCCAAAGAAGGCTTACAGCCAAAGGAGTTTTGCTAACTTGTATCATTACAGAATGACACAGATGTACCATTAAATCATAACAGCTTTTATCATTATCCTTTGATATTGGTTCTGTTGTTCTGCTTAGAGCAAACCCATTCCTTCCTGCTTGAATCCCTGACAAAACAGGAATGCTTCTACTTGTGTAAGACAAGGTTCCTTGGGTGAATTTGATATCTTTTATTAGACCAACCCAAATAGTTGGAGAATAGTTATTAAGCAAGCTTTCGAGTTCAAAGTTACAGCCTACACCCTCTACTTGTGTAATGCATTTTTATTTTAGTGGTAAAACTGAGTTACAAAAAGTGACAAGGATGGGAAACACTTGCCCACCTTTTTGCATTAGCTGTTTTTGCACAGGATTCCAGCAAGGTGGAAGGGAATTGCTCACAGATACTTAAGTACCATTTAGATGTTGACTAGGTGGGATGAGCTTTGGTGCTTAATCTGCAGAAGAGGGTATTTACCTTCATTTGTAAAATGCTTTAGGAACCTTGAATAGGTGAATAAACACCATGCCAGGTAGCTTAGATCACAAACAATCAATTTACTCCCCTGCTGGTGTTCTCCCAGTGCAGAGTGCTTCGTGAGTGTGTACATGATGATGTTTTTTCATTGCTGTTATCCAGAGTAAGTATGGACTGTTACTCCCGCAATTTACAGTTTTCCCTCACCTCAGAGGGAAGTTGTGTGTACTTTTCAGGCTGAAGGACCAGGCATCTAGTTCTGTCTCCCTAGTTGTGCATGATTTATCTAGTAATTGCATCTGCTGTTTGAAGTACATGGATTTGTAACACCGGGATCCATTGATAGAAACATTGCTGGATACCATTACCAGTGGGTCTTATCAGCTATACACAGCAGTACTTGCTTTGGAGTCAGAATCTTTTGCACTTTGAATGACTGGTGCATTTTAAATAAATTTAGATGCATGGCAGACTTACCGATACAGCCCAGCATAGCTGGACTTGGAGAATCCTTTTCTGATTGGTGGAGTCCGTCCACCAGTCGGGTAGCTGTTGGGAGGGGTTTGCCCCGCCTCTGCTGGGGCAAAGAGGGAAAAAAAAGAAAAGTCTTAGACCTGGTACAAGACTGCTCTCTGCTGGTCCGGCACAACTTCAGGGGCAGAGCCCCCCAAGAGAATAAAATGAGCTGCATGCCCAGCACGTGGCAGACGTGTTGGGGGACGGAGAAGAGAGAGAGGGGGCTAAGAAGAGCTGGCCAGCTGGGCAGAGGCCAGTGCCCTGATGAGCCCGAACACCCCCTTGGCGAAACAAGAGCGCTGGATAGCCACAGCTTCCATTCGGTGCATGGCAGAGAGACCCTGGGAGCTTCATGAGGCGACTTGGGTCTCCAGCCCCGCCTCTCAGTGCAGATAGTGCTGAACCCTCCGGAGGGTCTCAGCGGGACCGAGACCCTGGGAGCCACTTGAGGCAGCTCGGATCCCTAACCCTGGCCCAAGGCCAGGAACTTGGTGCAGGAGACGGTGCACGGGCAGCCCTGAGGGACCAAGACCCTGGGAGCTGCTTGAGGTGGCTTGGGTCTCCAACCCCTGGCATGCAGCCAGGCCTCAGTGCAGGCTTTGCTTCACAGCAAGTACAAGCCAGACCAAGGTCCTGGGACCACACAAGGCGGCCCAGGCCCCCAACCCTGAGCAGAAAGAGCCTCGAGAAGCACACAATGGTGCTCAGGGCTACTAGCAGGCAGGTGGCCCAGATGGAGCCAGAGGCCTGAAAGGCCCCTGCAGCAAGGAACAGCTTGGCCGAGGGGACACTGACCACCCGCACGGCCCTGGAGTCATGAGTTACTGGGGAAAGGGGTTCCCACAGGGGAGGGAACACCCTGGCCAGGCTTTTTGGGTGATGAATAATAAATCTTACTCTTAGGCTAACTCTTAGGGTAGAACTAATAAGTGACATTCTCTGTTTAATGGATGTAACTGGTATGAGGAATCCACTGAAGAATATCACCTCCACCAAGTCAGCATGAACTATTATGGATCTTTTTGGCAGACCTGGGGACTAACTTTCAAGGAGCTCGGGGCTAAGATTCAGGGCAGTTGATATTAAGTACTATAGTACTTTCAAAGTGTTGTGCATCCATTGAGAATGATACCTAAGTAAGTTTATCACTTTGGAGGGCTTTGGAAAGCTTATGAATCAACCCCTATTCATTTCCTAGAGAAATAGCTCTCCAAGCACTATGTTTAAACTTCATGCTTTTTTTTGGAGTGCTTTTTTTTGGGAATACCTGGGGATGCAAGGCAATGAGGAGGAACCTGGTTACTTATCTGTAGTTAGTCTTAGAGGAGAGAAACTTAAATGCTGAAAGAAGGATGCTGGAAACAGTGATGAGCTTTTTTTTTTGGCGGCGGCGGCGGGAGGCAGGGCAGGGGGAATCTCTGATGGAATGCAGGTTAAAAAAAAAAAAAAAAAAAGGCCTTCCTTCCATTTAACATGTATTTATGAATACCTAAATGGAGATCATATATATTTGCCAACATTTGTAGAAATGGTTGAGAGAGTAGATAATCTACCTAGCTGTGCTGCAGAAGTCACCCTATAAGAGCTTTCTTCTTGGAAATGCTCATTCCATTCAATTCACCTCTGCCTTTGGTAGAGTATCTATATCTATCTCTTACATATTTGAAAGGTGATTATTTTTTACTTACAGGATAAGCAGGTCTGTGGTTCACATGTACAAGAGAATTGGGTAATGGGAACATTTTGTGGAAAGCAAAAATGTATTGTTAATACAAAGGTTCCTTCCAGCCAGAAAAATTAAGAACTTCCCTCCTCTCCTACCCCTAGAGAAGATTCTGATTCTGAAAGAAGTTTTTTTCTGAGTTAGGAAATTTCTCCAGGGGCAAGTGTGTGTGAACACTGGACTTCTATGGTATGTCCCCACATAGGGAGACTATGTAGGGAACAGTAGACTACTTACATGCCAGTACTAACTACTTAAGAATGGTGTGGTAGTGGTGTCCCCTGGCTTCCTCAGTATATGACAGAAGAAATTGATTCTGTTTGGCAGTGATAAGATTAGCTTTCCTCTTACTTTGCAGATTTTGTTATCTGTATCTGATTTTGTGCGATTATTAGGAGGTGGTGAATTTTATGCTGACCAGGTTATAAAATGTTTGTCACAGTTATAGGTCAAGTTGTGCTTTAGATCCTGCTTAGCTCCCTCTTCTCCAGTGGCAGATTTGACTATTTTCATGCCTCTCTGGCATGAACCAGGGAGTCCTACTACCTCTCTAAGTCTAGCAATAACACAACGGGTCCAGTGGTGTTCAGCACCAGCAAGCCCATTTCCTCCAGGGGTCTGGGAGCAGCAGCTGATTAAAGTGATTTGAAAACTGTTTCTTCAGAACAAAGTAATTTTATTCATGCAAAATGAATGCAGCAGAGGAAATGGATAAAACAAAGAATGCCAGCGTGCCTTAGTTTTAGCTATTTTTTCCCTTTTGTCTTGAAAGTTTTGAGTTAAGTTCTACACAAACAAACAATCCCTAGCTTCTGGGCTGGGAGAGACAGGCAGCCGCTGCCATATTCTATGAAAGGCTGATTTCTCACAGATGCTGCCAGCTCACCTCCTTTCCTCTCTGGGCAGATTGTAATGTGTTAATGCCCCTTTTCTGAGCCTGGGAAGAATAAACTGCAGCTTAGATGGAGCTATCCAGTTGGGAAGCTGGCATTCTCCTCCAACATTCCCTTAAGTTACCATAAGTTCATTTTTTCCTCCCCTGTTTATTTCTTCCTATCAATCAGGTAAACTGAGGTTCATGTAATATTAATAGAATACTACTTTTATTACTTTCCATGTCCACAATTTCAAAATCAAAGTGGGATCATCTAGAAATTCAGATTCCAGCTTTAAATACTGATGCTCACAGGAGATTTCCTTGCAAACTAAACTTACTCTGCTCAATTGGAGAAAAGGGTACCAAAGGATGCTTCTGGTTTGGAAAACTTCATTGGCTCACATGGCCTTGTATCAGTATGTTATACTACACTCTGTTTCCTTTCCCCAGGGGTACAGTGTCCTTTACTCTGGCTGCTTCTGATATGGTGTAGCCTGGCTCTTCCTTAGACTGTACATGGCTGCTTCTTGAGGTAAGTGAGAAGTGGAGGTAACTGATAATTTTGGCCTGGGTAGCCTGGGGGAAAGAATGTCCTCCTTCCTGGGGATCTCTGGTTTTGCATGTTTTTGAAAGCTGTGAAAAAAACGGATATCACCTGTGGCATGGGAGATGAGCCCACCTCTGTTACATTGTGCCTTGCTCCACTCTGCTCTCCCTTTTGTCATTCTTGTTGCTGCATGTGAGGTGCCTTGGAGATCAAGTAATTCTCCATAGTTGTATAGCAGGTTTTCAGACCTTTAAACTGTAAACTGTTTGGACCAAGGGCTGTGCTTGAATTCTTTGTTTATAATGCCTAATACAATGGGGTCCTGATCTATGACTAGGACCTCCAAGTACTAGAGCACCTGTGAAGTTACCTCCACTGATAGGTAGGTAAACTGAGGTACAGAGAACATATTGGGACTGAGTTGAGAATAGAGTCCAAGCACTTTGGTTCTCTGGCCACCAGGCAGTGTCTTTTCTAAAAGAAGCTATAAAATCCTGATGTACAATGTAGGTATCAACAAGTTGGCTCTGAGAATGGGTTACTCCTATTTCCTTTAGCTGTCCTATCCTGTCCACCATGCATTGTAAAGTTGAACTGTTGTGCTACCGCTGTTTGGGGGCATGGAAATGCTCTATTTTTAGTAGTAGATTCCAAGTGGCAAATCTGTTTGTTGTTCATCTAATGACTCCATATCTAGCTGCAGCTTGGAGAGGAAGAATTGGTTCACAGGCACCATTTTGTGGGCTATACTTTTGTGATCACTCCTTCCCAGGTGTGGGTTTCTTTAGCAGCAGAGTGCTGTGGGTACATACACAGTGCTAAACAGAAGCTTTGCAAGAAAGGAAAACCTGCTATGCTGTGTCATGCTCTGGACACAAGGAAGATGATGGTGCCAGCTATAAAGACCAGGCACAGCACCAAGTGCCAGGGAGAGGTTTATGAAAGGAGGAGCTTCTACTTTTCTGCTACATTGTAGAATACTTTTCTCATGCTTCTTTTCCCCTGGCTGGCTTTCAATCTCTTCCATTTCTTTGTGTCTTTCTTCTCTTCTGCTCTCCTCTATCTCCCATTGTCCCTTTTTTCACTCACTCAGTCAGCATGTGCATAATTGCTGAGCCATGCAGTAGCATCCTTAGTGGCCATGTGCAGTTCCTGTAGTCTGCTACTGAACAGTCAGCAGGCAGTCATCGACAATATGCAGCATGGTGTGTTTTGCTACAGCTACAGTCTGGGTTGTTGTGAAGACCCTGATGGTGGAGGTTGGCTGCACATAGATTTTGCCCTTTCTGGAACCTATTTAACAAGTCCCACTGATGATGTGGCAGGTTGAAGCTGAGTGGGTAGACGGTAGGATCTGTTATAAGGAAATTGTTTGGTAATAATGTCGACCTCCATTCCTCACACCAGGGGGTCTCCATGGTGCGGTCCTGGTGCAGCAGTTTGGACCACAGTGGGTGTCACGATGGTAGATGTGCAGCAGGTGGATTTAAGAACTTGTCGTACAGCAGCAGCCTTGGATTGGGGAACAATGTTGCTTAGGCCTGGGAGCCATGATAGAGAGGGATCAGTTGAAGAATTCCTGAGATGATGCGCATTGTCAAATGTAGCTTCACTTCATTGGGTTTGGTGTGTGATTTCATAGATTTCATAGACATCAGGGCTGGAAGGGACCTCGGAAGATCATCGAGTCCAGCCCCCCGCCCAAAGGGCAGGAAGTCAGCTGGGGTCATAGGATCCCAGCAAGATAAGCATCCAGTTTCATCTTGAAGGAAATAATGAATGTCAGTGGAAGAATGCAGCAGTTGAAAGCTTCACCAAAGCTGAAGCTCCCTGGGAATGCAGAAGATGACGGAAGTTGTCAGAGGCCTATAATGTGTCAGGGATGTACTTGGTAGCTGTGTCGGTCTGAAACAAAAAGGAATACAAAAATCTAGAACTCTTGGTTCCAAAATAATACCTTTTATTAGACCAACTGAGAAATCACAAAAAAATAATCTTTTTCTGCAAGCTTTCGGGCTCAAAGGTCCTTTATCAGGCTCTGGGAAAAGTATAGATGGTAACCACTAATGTTGTATTTCAGAGGCCTATAAAGCATTATTGAGTCTGGGGAGACTGGGGAGGAATTTGATAATAGTCTTCAAATACCTGCAGGGCATTTTATAGAGAGGATGAAGATGGGCTTTTCTCTGGCCATAAGGGAGAGGACTATGAACAACAGATTCAAGCTACAGCAGAGGAAATTTACATTGGAGATTAGGAGAAACTTTCTGACTATGAGGGTGGTGAAGCATTGGAACAGGCTATCTTGAGTAGTTGTAGAATCTCCAAGCTGGGAAATTTTCAAAAGCAGTTTGGGCAGACACTTGGCTGGTATGGTTTAGTGAGAGAGAATTCTGCCTTGGGCAGGGAGCTGGACTAGATGACCTCATGAGGTCCCTTCCAGCCCTACTTTCCTTTGATCCTAGAAAAAATGAAATAGATTTCAGCTGCTTTCACTTTGTACCTGGGACAAAGAGTAGTAGTGAAAAAGAAAACTAGTAGGTAATCTTATCCTTCCAATAGCAAATGTTTTTAATTGTTTTCAGTTAACTCAGGCAACGAAGGCTAACTATGAAACTTTCTGAGTGTCACACTCCATATAAAAATTAAACATGAAATATACATTGTTAACCTGGAGCAGATTCTGTTCCAAGATAAGATCCACAAGATGTGGTTGTATTTTCCACAGTGACCCAGAAAGCAGGTAGAGGGAAGGACAGCATGGGAAGAATGTGCTAATGCACACAGAAGTAATAGGTAGGCTAGTTATAGCTGCAGGTATACTTTGATTGCAATTCAGATAATTATTAACATTAGATTAAGTAAAAAATATCTGATTTTAGGTATGGGCAGTAGTGCAGCTACAGACAGACTGTTAAGGTCAGCATTAAGGTATTCAGAAGTGTAAGTTTGTAACGTGTGTGGATCTCTGCCAAGTCTCTCACACCTGCAAACATAAATATAACCTTTTCTTACCTCTCCCCAGTGTTTTCGCTCATTCATGTTCCTTCAAAAAGTCAGCATTAATGGAGGGCAGGGGATCACCCTCACCCGGACTTCCCGGCCCTGTAGCGGTCATGGGCGTCCCATGGGACTGATGAAAGACCAACGCAAAGTACCTATTTAATAGGTTGGCTTTTTCCTGGGCGT